AGATAATGGACTCAAACCCAACACGACTGGTGAAAAGATTTTTTCATCTAGGCCTTTGCCTGCAGAGTCAAACTTAACGTACAAGACTCTTTCCAATGGGATTAGTTAGGCTAGCCCCAGGAAATATTTTTCCAAATCTTCAGAGTTAGGTTAATTAGGGTTTTCTACCTCTTCTTTTCTTTTTCTTTCCTTTTTATTTTTCTCCTTCTTTTTCCAGAATGGCAGGAAGGGATGGGGGAGAGAAATACAAGCTATGTACTGCGTTGGGCACAGTGAGAAAGCACAGAGAATTAAATGGTCATTCCTTACTCCTCAAGAGAGAAGATTGACACGTAGGTCCAGGCAGGTGGGCCGCATTGGTGCCATCTGCATGTGGCCATCCACAGACAGAGTGGCAGCTGGGACTCACTCGAATTCGAACAAAAAGCAACAGATTTTAAAACAATGGAAATAATGTACAAATGCCTCCAAGTTCAAATATGAGGTATAATACCTTCCTACGAGCTGATGGACCAAGTTTTGTGTGGGAATGTAATATCTGGCTTCATCTTCCTTTTCTGCATTTCCTCATTTTCCTGCCATTTTTCAGCAGTTTGTAAGCCTCCTTAAGTATTTTGGAGCATGATAGGACCATTAATACGTGAGTTAGAATTGAATTTATAATATAAACTTCATAGATTTTGATTCCATTATTTTATTTCAAGGTATTGTTTTTGTTCTCCAGCTTGTCCTTTTTAATAGCATTCTGTTTTTATTTCATGGAGGCAATATCTTTCTGCTGTCGTCTCTCTGGGGATGTTAATAATAATTTTGAATGATGTTTTTATTCTCCCTGCAGAGTTTCCCACGTTGTTTCCCCCCAACTTGTAGGCTGTTCTCAGATATCTGGAGATAATTGGTTGTGTGCTCGCGTTTAAAAGCGGGGTACTAAAGAGCTGCGTAGGAGCGCTGAGCTGGCTGGGGAATCCCGAGACAACTTAGGGCTTCATTGTAGAGTGGTCTGAGGGACCATGCATGGGGCAGAGGTCACTCCCAATCTCTGAGGGAGGGCAAAGGCCTGGGAGCCAAGGTGGAGGAGTTGGACTCTCAATGGTGAGGTTCAATGTCAAGTGTACACATAGTCAAACACCTCCTGAGGGTCTGGTTGTGAATTTCTTGTCCAATACCTTGACCCCTAACTGTGCTGGTCTACCCTCACCTGAGCATGTTGACCCCATTCCTAGGTACTCTGTTTTATGTCCCTGGGGGTGGGGGCACAGAGGTGTCCCTCAGTGGTGTGGAAGGTGGGTCAGGAATCTAGGAATCTAGTTTCTTCTCCAATAACCTCCACCAAATCCTTGTTTGCTCTCCCTCCCCTGTGCTTGACTTCATGATCCCAAGAGACCTTCGTGAACCTTTGGGGACTCTGCAGGTGGGTTTTCAGCCTCCTTGATGTTGGCTTTAGATTTGGCCCTTCCACTAAGTAGTTATGGAGTCTGTCAGTTCCAGAGCTTCAATGTTCTTGTGGTGGTCACAATTTCTTTCTGAATGTTTTCCCCATCCTTGTGAATTTCTGTTTGTTTTTTTTTTAACAAATCTCTTAAAATGGTTTGGGAGGAAAAACTGCTAGATAACATTGATTCAATGTGTTATTGTAACCAAGCAGGTCTTTAATTCCATTTTTTATTTTATTTTCTCACATCACTTAATAATACGGTTGTTAATTCTTCTTGTAGTTCACTGCTTTTGAGACTGTCAATAAATTATCTAACATCTTTAGGTCTTTCCTTCCTCATCTGTAAAATAGGAACATGTCTTGTCCTACCTGCTTTATGAGGTAGTGCCGCAGCTTGCCTCTGTAGGTCTGAGGACAAAATAGCCAGCTGTTCGAGCGCAGCTCAGGCAAAATCAGGCACACAGGGGGATGTGGGGATCTTCCTGGGTCAGTGAAAGTACTCCTGCGGGGCCTCTGGTTTCCATCCTTGTTTCCAGATCAGCAACTTGGCATAACCCTAGGCTTCTGTTGACAAATCCCTTGGGAGACAGGTTAGTGTGTCTAGTCTGGGTGAGAGGGCAGCAGTCCCTCGGAGCAGTCCCTCTGGAGCCCAGAGAACTAGTGATGCCCCAAACTTTTGGAAGAGGAATTATTCTCTCCATTTCCCGCCTTTCTCCTTCCTCCCTGTTTTCTTCTAAGTAAAACACTTTGGTCTCATCTTCCAACAACTCTCCCTTTTTATTTGTGTTTGTTCTTTTTACCTATCCATGATAGTAGAGTGTATTTGACATATTCACATACACAGAGTCTGACTTCCCAATCTGTGGTGGTACATGATGTGCAGTTAGACTGGTTGTGTGTTCATATAGGAGCAGAGAAAAGTTATATCCAGTTCATTCTACTGTCTTTCCCCCTCTCTTCCCTTCATTCCCCTTTGTCTGATCCACTGAACTTCTGTTCTTCTCTCCCCAGCCCTTATTGTGAGTTAGCATCCGCATATCAGAACGTTTGGCTTTTGGGTTTTTTGGATTGGCTTATTTCATTTAGCACGAGAGCCTCCAGTTCCATCCTTTTTCTGATTAGCATTTCCCTTTTGTTTTCTGCTCAGCCTGCCTTTCCATCCATCTCTGGACAAAGTGTGTGACCTGATGTGACCCATTGTCCACTCAATTGCTCCTGCAGATCTGCAGAGTCTGGGGGGCCAGTGAGGCCTTCCAATGAGCATAGCCAAGTGAGAGTCCATCTTGCAGCAGAGAGGGGCTCAGTAGGGCTAGTGCAGTCAAAGGGAACAGGATCCCCTGTCCCCAAACCCTCCTGTACCCAGGGAAGGGCCCAGGAGAAGAACGTGCTGACCTTTGACATCTCCTGTGGAAGAGGGTATAAACCTCCCTTTGGGAGGTTGCGAAACCAGCTGGCCTCTCTTCCCCTCCCCACCTCCTCCTTGCCCTTGAAGAGTAGAGAGTAAAGAAGCATCGGTTACACAGAGTATCCTGTTTCCAAGAATCAATCCAGTTGGATCCATGTGTCTAATGGGCACCTGTGGGGAAAGGAGGCAGCTCAGTCCCTGTGGTGAACCAAGGGTCTGGGGGTGAGTGCATCTGGACAGCTGGGAGAGAAGGGACAGCTGTGGGTGAGTCTATAAACAGGACAGTCTCTCCGGCAGGAATGTTCCTTCCCTCTTCCCTTACTTTGGGCTGGCTGTGGCTGACTGCACAGGAAGCTGGGCTCACGTTTTAGCATTGTAATCAAAGGATGCTCCAACAAAGCTTCACATGACTCATTTGGTGACAGGAGCCATCAGTATGGTGCTGCATGGTAATTCGGCATCCTTGGCAATTCCCAGAGGTGACAGTAACGAGTATTATTTCTATGTGGCTGGGACAGGCATGCAGGTCAGCCCTGGAAGGTAAAGGAGTCTCCGTCCCCAACACACATCTCCCTCCTAGCCAGCTTCCCCCCTGGGCTGGGGGTCCACAGTGTCTGATCCTCCATGTCAGGAAGAAAAGACCAGATCTCGGGCAGACAGAGGAGCCTCAAGCTAAACTCTGCCGGGGATCTTTTTGTTTGCTCTGGGTTCTCCACAGAGTGGCTGGAGAGGGGGAGGAGGGGAGGGTGGGCTTCCTCATCTCCCTCAAGAGATAAGCAGACCCCAAGGGATTCCCTGCAGAAATCCTCAGGGCATTGGTTTCTCAGGGATGGGAAGAGACAGGTGTGCTGGAGGTGTGTGCTCCTATCAGGTGGTGGTGACATCATTTGCTTCTGGTGTCTTCCCTGCCCTGCTCACACATCACCCTTTCTTTGAGAGGAGACTGTCCTGGGGTCCTCCAGGCTGCCCTGCATTGTTGGCGGGTGGTGAGTTGTGCCCTGGGGCAGAGGTGGATAAAATGGCTTTGCTCCGCTTTGGAGCCCGGTGGGGCAGGCTGGGGCTGGTGTCTGAGCTCCCATGTAGGCAGGTGAGAAGGAGCTGTGGGTGGGTGTTGGGTGGAAGGAGGGGCCAGCAAGACAGGGGTGGGGTGCTTCCCAGGAGGAAGTAAGACCTGGTTCTGGGGACAGAGTGGGAAGAGTGGGAAGTGTGCTGGGGAGCAGGCACATTGAGAGGGAACGTGGCAATGGCTGTGGTCAGCTCTGCAGACTGGAGGGCAGAGCCAGGGAGGATGCCCAGCTGAGCAAGGTGCTGAGTGGCCAGCTGAGCTATGGCAGAAGCTCTGCCCTCTCCCTCCTGCTGAGAATGCTGTCTTTCCATCTGTGTCTGTGGACTGTGTCTGATGGGTCAGGGAGGCCTGGAACAGGGAAAGTCCTGACCCTGAATACAGAGCTGACCTGAGGGTGGAAGGGTGGAGGAACTGAGAAAGGGGACTGCTCCAGGGGCCCAGACAGAGGGCAGGCAGTGTGGCTCTCGCTCTGCAGCCAGACCAAGCCATGGAGCCAGTTTGGAAGGGAAGGAAGCCCCTAAATCAGCAGCTTCTCCTCCCAGCAGCCTCTCAGAGAGACCAGCAAACCCTGGCAGGGAGGCAGGCCTTGGCAGGGCCAACCCGACTGCCAAGGCCCTGCTCAGCTTCAATAGCCCATCTCCTCGATTCTTACCTCTCTGAGAGGCTGACAAATACTGGGTTGGCCACATGGGTCTGAGTTTGAGTCCCTGTTCTGTCAGTAGTTTACTACCTGCATGCATTTTAGCAAGTTGTTCCTGTACAGAGAGGGATTAAGTCAGCACTGTCTCTGGAAGTTGAGATAGATGCACGGGGAGGGCAGCACTGGTCTGGCACCAATGAGATGCCCAAGCAATGACAACTGTATTATGATGAGCTCTCCCTGTGCCTAGCATATTTGTGCACAGGTCAGAGTTACCATCGGGGGGACTCTCCTCTGCCAAGGATGCTGGGTTACACAAACCTATCTGAGAAGAGCAGGTTGCCTCCTTCCTGTCCCCGCCATGACCACTCTCCTTCCTACCCCAGGACTAGGGTGCTCCTAACTCTGAGTCCCAGGCTTTGATGCTGACTGCTGCCTTCCTGCTTCCCCACAGACCTGCGCAGAATGACGGCCGGCTTCATGGGCATGGCGGTGGCCATCATCCTCTTTGGCTGGATCATCGGTGTGCTGGGCTGCTGCTGGGACCGAGGCCTTATGCAGTATGTGGCAGGGCTTCTCTTCCTCATGGGAGGTAAGGCCACAGGGGTGGGGATGCGGTAGGGACAAAAAAGGACCTGGTTCCTGGAGTTCTGGGAGAATGTGAGAGGCATGGAGGACAGCCATGACTTGACAGAGCTCTTCTCCCCACTCCTCCCTTGGCTCAGCAGACGTTCTCTGAGTTCCTCCCTCCCACTTGCCACTGAGCCAGCTGTTGGGGATGCAGAAGCAAAGAAGACACGGTCCCCCACCCTGTGGGGAAGGGGTCTGCCTGCTGTGGAAGAAGCACACTATGGTATGAGACTTGTGTTATGGCAGATAGAGATCTGGGACCTGGAAGAAGCATGAACCCAGAAGGTGCCTGGGCATCTGAGACACCCAGGCCTCGGGCTTCAGTGTGGATGAAGGAAGTGGGTGCACTCTGGGCAGCTAGCTTCCTCTCCAAGTGCCTATGTTCATCCTTGACTTATGGTCGTAATTTCCCCCATTTACAATGAGGTGGTGTGGGACAGGGCTACACACTCTCTTGCCTCTGTCCCCCTTACTCTATTATTATCACAACCATAGAGCCAACCATCGTTCCCTAAAGGGAGCTGTATGTCAGGAAGACTGCATGGCCATATAGGAATAGGTATCCTGTCTGTGAGCATAAAAGTTCATCCAGTGTCTACTTGTGCCTCTTGCTTCTCTGAAAAGCTAGAATGTGCTTTTTGGTCTCCTGGTTTGAGTCTCATCCAGTGCTACAGTTTGGGATGCTCAGAGAAAGGTAGTGGATGAATTGTGTGGACTTTGGTAGAGGGGAAATGGGCTTAGAGAGAGAGAATTGGAATTATTTGTGAAAAGAAGGGAAGATGAGTCTTACACAAGATAACAGATGTCAGCTAGGCTGCAGATATCCACACGAATAAATGCCCGGCTCAGGTCTCTTTTGAGAACAGCCAGGTTCTGGGTTTCTGAGCAGAGGTGGGAGGAGGAGAAATGGACCATGCTGGTTCTTTATCCACAGGTCGAGCTGGGAAAGGGAACTTGCCCTCTTGGTACACAGAGATCTCTGGAGCCTACTGAGCTCTGCTTTGGGGGGAGGAGGAGAATATTACAGGATCAGCTTGAGCCTGAAAGTTCCCCCGTTCCCTTGAAGCACATGCATTCTGTGCCAAAGGAAAGAGGAGGTTCTCCAAAGAGAAATTCAACTTTTACATGGACCTCCAAATGTAAAAAGATAAAAGTGGAGTGGCTCTGTTTGTAGTGATGCCTCTCTCTAAGTCTTCTTTGGATATATAAAGACAGCTCCAGTAAAACAGGGCTTTCCTGAGGGTCTAGAGAGGGCTCCCAGGAATCCAAGAAAAGCTGAGCAAACAGGCCTCAGGCAGAGCAGGAATCCCCAGGGGTGGCTCTCTCTCATCTCCTCCTCTTTGGCTCCTGGGCAAGTTCTCCACTGTCCTCTTTCCTTCAGGTAGGCACAAGGTTCAGAGCTTGCCTAGGTGCTAAGCCTGGGGCCTTTCCATTCTTGGAGAACGTCTTTCTGGGCAGCTTCAGTGAGCTTGCAACCAACAGCCAGGTGCAACTGGCTAGCTTGTCCTTTCTGACCAGGCCACACATTGCACGTCAGACAATAAGCAGGTTAGAACTGGGTGACTGTGGAAGGGCCAAAAGCTGTGACTGCGGTGAGGTCACTGGGACACCTCCCAAAGGGGGTGAGGAGACAAAGAGTGGGAAGCTTCCATCCACTGCTGAGGCACTTCCCAGAAGCCTGGGGCTCTGGCAAAACAGTCTGAAAGCCCTGGCTAGACTTGATTCTGAGTCTGCAACCCCTCCCTCCAGGCTGCAGAATGAGAGCCCTGCTTCCTGCTTGCCCCGAGTGGTGCTCACCTGCTGCATGTCAGAGCTGCCTGAAGAGTTTTCACAAAACACTGATATTGGGTCCCAAGCAGAGCTTCTGGTGGTCTGCCTGTGCACACAGAGCCAGGGATGGGTGGAGCAAGTGAACCTTAGTGTACTTTCTAGCTCCAATATGGTATGGTACTAGGGACAACTGGTTGGCCAAGGCCTCTCATGAAATATATATATATGTTACATGTGATGTGTGTGTGTGTGTGTATATATATATATTTTTTTTTCTCTCTAGCCTTCCATGATTGTTCCTCCAAGCCTTATGCAACAAAAGATCGGGTGGTACTAATGGGCCTGTTATTGCTGGAAAGACCATCCAAGCCCTGATTATGGGGGGGCGGGGCAGGTCAGTCAGCTTTTGTGGGACTTGCCCTGTATTTTTTAATGACAAAACCATACTTTCTGATAGTGTCTGTGTGACAATGAGCTTTCAGGATCTGCTGTTACAGGTCTTTCTTGATAACTGGGGGCCATCCAGGCCAGAGTGAATCCATCTGACCCAAAGGCTGCCTGGGCTTCCACTTCACCCTAGAGCTTTGTCGTCCGTGACCCTAGGTAAAGCAGTGTCTTCCTGCAAGCGGCCGAGAGGGAAGTGGTGTCCACATGCTCGTGGATACCTTCAGGCCAGGCAGTAACAGAAGGGGCTAGAGAACAGAGCCATTAGCTGCTGACCCCTTGAATGATGGTCTTCTTTGGAAGATGACGCTGGGGAGGTGGGGTGAAGGCACTCTCATCCTTCTCAAATTAGAGCCCTTTCCAATTGGGGTAGACACAGACCTGGGAGTCCAGATGCCCAGGGCAGCTGCCATCTGCTGGCCCATGAGCTTGGCTTAGTTGGGAACTAGGGAGGAAACAGACCCAGGCAGAAAGGTGGTGCCTCCGGGCCCCTGATCAGCTGTGAGAGCTAATCTGAGAGGCTGGACGCCAACCCAGAAGCGTGGCCTGGAACCACAGAACCCCGTATGTCAGAGACATGTCAGCACCAACCCTCTGAGCACCTCTAGGGGTTAATCTCCCATTGTCAACCTGCTGAAGAACTTGAACAGCAAGCCACCCTCTACAGCCACCTCCCAGACACAGCAAAGCATCAGTCACCAAACTGCAGGTGTTTCCCACAGAGTGAAACAAAAAGGCCCCATGGCCTAAGCTTTCACCCAGGTTGGGGTTTTACAGTCTGCAGCTGAACACAGACAGGTGCCCAAGGGCTCGGATGGGGCTGCAAGTGGGATGTGCAGGTGGGGACTACCTGCAGCAGCTTCTGGAGCTGGCCAGGCATGGGTGTGGCCAGCAGGAGGAAAGGAAGCAGCAGCAAGACTGAGAAAAGGACATTTGGAGTGAAGAATCACAGGTGGAATTGCAGGTGACTTTAGGTGAAGCTGCCAGGGCCGAAATAAACACGGAAGAATCTATTCACAGCCCTGTCTCCTTTCCATAGGAAGCCGGGCCGCCTGCACGGGGCACTTCTCCATTCAAGGTTTCACTGTTTCTGGGTTAAAGAGAGGGCACCTGGCATCCCATGTAATAACTAGCAACAAATTGTTTAATTAATGCTCAACCCAGAGGAGGTAATTAATTAAGCAGGGCAGCTTCGTCAAGCCTGGAGGCTGGCGGTGGCCGGTGGGATCCAGTTTCCCTTTTGGCAGAGCCTCCAGGGAGGATCTAGCCCAGACTGGCACAGCACCATTTGGGTGGCAGCAACTGTCCTGATGATTCATCAGCGATATGCAGAAGCTCGGGAACAGGATGACACAGGGAAAGACTGCAAGCCGAGGAGGCATGTGACGGCTCTGGTCACTTGTGATTCCCTTGCTGGTGTAGCTTGTGGACTCAGGTCTGGACAGCCAAGCCATGCCCCGCCCTAGCAAGGGCCCTCCACACCCCTCCTGCTGGAAGTGTTCCATCTGTTCTCTAGGCTAATGCTGGAGCCTCTACCTGGATGCTTCAACTCCTCTCCAGCCACTCTGGGATCAGTCCTGCACAGAGAAGTTAGCGTCACTTCAAAAGAAGAAAAACAACAACGATAAATCAAATATCCTTCTCTTCTGCTGTCAATAGTCCAATGGCTTCCAGTTGAATTTAAAACCCAAATTCCTTACCCTTCTTTAAGGGCCCTTTGTAATCTGGCCGATACTGCCTCTCGGACCTCCTTTCCTGTTCCTTCCCCTACACTCATGCCCCTGCAGTCACACGGACTGCCTTTCTATTCGGGAACACACACTTTTACCTCAAGGCCCTGTAGCTGGCTGATGCCTTTCTCCACAGAGCTTCCCCCATAATATCTCATGAATGGCTCCTCCCCCTGATTCAGACTCCAACTGGAAGGTCCCCCCTCAGAGACAGCTCCCTTGACCTCCCATGAAGACACTGAGGGACTCTCTACATTTTAATTACTAAAATTTTCTGCAGCACATTCATTCATTCTAAGATGTTTGTTATTATATTTTGATTTTGGTTAATTTTATTTGGGCAGCTTAAAACTATAAATGCTTCTATGTCGAAAGTTGTGTGGATCCGAATTCCATGCCTGGCTTAACCGGGTTTTCCGTTGAGGATCTCAGAGAAAGAACTATGATCAGAGTTGAAGCTGGGGCTGGGCCTCATCTGAGGTTTGAGGTCCTCAGCCAAGGCTGTCATGTCAGGGGGAGAATTCACTTCCCTACAGCTGTGGAGCTCGTAAAAGTTTATTTATCCAAGACTGGCAAGAGAGGGAGTCTCCTACTTCTGTCTCTAACCTCTAGACCCTCTTTAATTAGAGACCCTTAATTTTCAGAACAATTTTAAATTTAAAGAAAAAAGTGAGCGGATAGTCTAAGGAGTTAAGATTTTACCCCTACCCCTGTGTCCAATGTCTCCTTTATAAACATGTTACATTAACATGACACATCTGTTATGATTAATGAATAAATATTGGCACATTATTATTAACTGAAGTCCATAGTTTACTCATAGTCCCTTATTCTTACCTGATGTCCTTCTCTGTCCCAGGCTTCCATCCACTCTGCATTTAGTTCTCAAGTCTCTTTAGGCTGCTCTTGACTGTGGCAGTTTCTCAGACCTTCCTTGTTTCTGATGACCTTGAAGTTGTAAAGAGCACTGGGCATATTATAGGATGACCCTCGGCTGGGACTTGTCTGATGTTTTTCT